GCAATTCTCCTGCCTTAGCCTCCTGAGTAGCTGGGATTATAGGTACCCACCACCAGGCCTGGCTAATTTTTTTTTTTATTTTTAGTAGAGACGCGGTTTCACCATATTAGGCTAGTCTTGATCTCCTGACCTCAAATGATCTGCCCCCCTCAGCCTCCCAAGGTGCTAGATTACAGGCATGAGCCACTGTGCCCAGCCTGATGACAATCTCTTTATTGCTGCCTCTCCCCAGTTCATGAGGGATTCTTCCTTGCGCACCAGCTGCACGTCCATGGGAAGACAGGTGGGTCTTCCTGATGGCCCATTTCTTAGCCCCATTGCAGACAAGATTCCTGCAGCGAAGCTTGTGCTTGTTTACCAGCTATTACAGAGACAGGCTGCTTTAGTTTCTTCTCTTCTGGCTGATACAATTACACTTCAAGTGTCCCTCCTTGGATCTAAATTTCCACCTGGAAAGCGGGAGACAGCATGGAGGAGGGGGAGGCGAGAACAACGGCCCTGCCCAGCACGGGTCAAGCATTCCCCAGGCGGGGGGGAAATGAATGAGCGAGAGTTGTGCTCAGAAATGAGAACCGGCTGCTGGTCCGGCTCTGCCGTTACCTGTGGGATTTTATGCAAGAACTTTTCTCTCTCTGGGCCTCAGTTTTTGCCTCTATAAGAAGAAGCAGTTAGATGAGATGGCCAATATTCTTTGATTTTATGAATGGCCAGATATTTGTCCTCTCCTGGAAGTGAGAAAGGAGGGAAGAACGGAAGAGGAAAAGGAGCCGAAGTGTTGGTGGGGAAGTGGCTTCAGGGCAGCATGGGAGGAAAGCCATAGGAAGGATGTGGGCGTGGGGAGAGACGTGTGCTCAGGGCTGTTGCAGGTGGGAAGGGGCCTCAGCTCCCATCTGCCTGCCTCTGGGCCATGCTCCCACGTATACTGGCAATATAATTTAAATAGATTTTTTAAAAGCTTTTATTTACTTTTCGCTTGGTGTATTGGCATGCATCCGTAATCCCAGCAACTCAGGAGGCTGAGGTGGGAGGATTGCTTGAGCCCAGGAGTTTGAGACCAGCTTGGGCAACATAGTGAGACCCCTATCGCTAAAAAAAATAAATAAATAAAAATTAGATGTGATGGTGCATGTCTGTAGTCTTAGCTCTTCAGGAGGCTGAGGCAGGAGGATCGCTTGAGCCCAGGAGGCTGAGTCTGCAGAGAGCTATGATTGTGCCACTGCACTCCAGCCTGGGTGGCAGAGTGAGACCCTGCCTCTAAACAACAACAAAAGACCAGCCTGGGCAACACAGCAAGACCTCCAACTCAGAAAGAAAGAGAGAGAGAGAGAGAAAGAGAAAGAAGAAAAAGGAAGGAAGGGAGAGAAATAAAGAAGGAAAGAAAGGCTTTTATTTACTTTTATATAATAAAATCATTCAATGTTCTTTTCCAAAAGGTAGGAAAACACAGATAAGCAGCAGTGAATCTAGGATAACAATCTTTAAACTTCTTTAACTTTGTATCCCTCTCAGTCAAATCTGAGTACACATGCCTAATTGATTTATAAGTTACATACATTATAAAATCCACTAAAGTGCAAATTAAGAAAGGTAAGATAAAAACAAAAGACTCCCAGTGGGTAGTCGGTCAGGCATGCCCATTTGGGGAGCACGGGCCTGGGCTGGGTAACATTTCACGACACTGAGTTTAGAGGAAGCCAGAGCTCCGGCGGCCCTGTGCTCTTGGCACTTGCTCTGTGCGGCTTCCATTAGGAACTCCACGCACGTCCCTTGGCGAATGAATGAAAGGATGAATGGGGAAGGGAGGTGGGGGAAGATCGCAGACCAGTGTGGAAAGAGGGGAGGTTGGATCTGAGCCATTGCGGGATGGCAGAGCTCGGGGTGCACGGTGAGGCTTGCTATCTACTCCACCTGCCAGCCTGGACCCCCCAGGGCTGACGATTTTGTGCTTCTGCAATGTTGAAGCACCTGTCAGTATTTAGAAAACGAAAAAAAAACCCCACAGGATCACGGAAAATTGAGACTGAAACTAATTGTAGCCTGTCTAGGGAGATGCCCAGAAAACTCACTTGCCCCTGAAATTGATGTGCTCCAAATCTCACAGCTAGTTTGTGATTAGAAGGAAAGCTTTATGTTGGATTGTGGCATTTAAATGAAGGCGTTTAGGAAATCCAGTTTGCTTCATGACTTCCCAGCAGTTGAAGCCACTACCAGACATTGTCAGGATGGCTCCTGTTTTCTGAGAAGGGCCCATCCCTTTCCTAAGATACCTGAGGAGTAGCTCCACCTAGGCTCGGAACACATGAGATTTCAACACTTCCTTCGTGGGCTTTGGGAGCTGTGGTGCTGAAGGGGGTAAATGAGGAATCACTGAACTGTGTCAGTGCAAGTAGAGACCGCTCGCGTAAAACTTCCTATTTCTACCTGTGTGCATGTGTGCGCGTGTGTAATAGCATGAAATAAGCATGTAGACAAGCTTAGCTCACTGCCTGGTGCAGAGTGGATTTCAAGGAGTGTTAATTCCTTTGCCCTCCCTTTATATGTTTAACTTGGCTGCTGCCTCCCTCTTCAAAGCCCTTGACCCATCCAAATTCCACCTGCTTTCCTACTAGGTGGAATCCCTGGAGGAAGTGCTCCTTCTCCCGAATTCTTCTAGCACTTGCTGCCTGGACCATGCAATTTAGGACTGAACTACACCCAGCCTTGCACGGTCCTCTGATTGTTTGTCATGTTTGTGTTATGTCTCTCTTCTACCCGCGACCCCACTGTGAATTTGCAAGCACCCCTGACCGTAACGGGGAGATGAACTGGAGCCAGAATGGCTCGGCTCAGTCCTGCCCCTGCCATGTACTGAATAAATCATTTACTCTCTTAGCTTCGGTTTCCCCAACTGCAACACTGAGATAATGGCACCGCCTCACAAGGCTGTTGCCGGGGATAATAGGTGTGAAAGCGCCTAAATCGTTGTACAAATGTGGAGTGCTGCTATTATCACCTCTGCTGAATCTACTAGAGCCCCTGCAAGCCTCCCTGCCTGGTGGAGTGTAGATGATAAATACCTGATTGACTGAATACAGAACAGCTTAGTGACAGCTCCTGTCATAGGCTCCAGGGAGCAGAGGTTGGAACCTAGTCCTGCAATCACTCCCTTCATTGACAATGCCAAATAGCCTGCACTTTGCAAATCCCTAAGTACTCTCAGTCTCCAGCTGATAAATCAGGGGCTGCTGCCCTGTGCGTAACAAAACTGCACCCTCAAAACGACCCTAGGCTGCACCACAGCGCCCTCGACAGGCAGCACCGGGCAGCACATGGAGAGGTAAATCTGCTGCTTTTGCTGACGTAGTGGTGGTTGGGGATGGGCTTTCCAGGGACCCTCCCCTGCAGAAGAGTCAGTGAGCCTAAAGGAGCATGAATCCTTTTCGTTAAAGGCATCACAGCCTCAGTGGAAGCTTGTAGAATATTTACCTACCACACTTTACAAATGACAAAAAAAGAGGGTTCATGCGGTCGCCACCCACCAGCAGCAAGAGAGCAGTATTTGCTTTGGGAGGTTTTGAGAAGAAGCCAGGCAGTTACTTTTCCCCTCGATGTTGAAAACTCTGGTCTGGGCTTGCTGGCGAATGCCGTGCAAAGCTCATCTGTTGTTAGTCTCCCGAACAATGTTATTGGTTATAATTGGGGCAATTATGGGCTGCTTGAGGAAGCTAAACACAGATGTTTAAGCGCAGGATCAGGGTATTCAAGTCCAAAGCAGCTTGCTTTAAATAGTCCATTTCCCGAATCATCCTGCCTTACTTGAAATTCCCCCAGAACTTGCTCATGTTCAGAGCGAGATGCGGGGAGGAGGGGCTGGGTAGCGAAGCCTGGGGAGGCGAGACTTGAGGGAGAGAAATGCACAAAGACAGGAGGAAGAAAGGAGGCGCCGGGAGAGCCTCGAGAGTTCAGAGGCGGTGACTTAGGAACGGACTTTTCTGCATGACCCGGTCAAAGACCTTTAGGTGGGGGAGACGGGCAGGGGAGAGAGATGCCAAGGAAGAGAGGAGCCCTCGAAAGGCATCGGGGTCTGGGCTACCAAGGTCACGCCCATGGACATGCTGCCTGGAACTCACACGCCGCGGGGCTCAGCAGTGTACACAGGTGAAGGACACTCCCCAGGTCCAGCCCTTCCCCGTTATTTGTAGCAATTTCTGTTGGGGACAGAAGGGAGAAGGGCTCTCTTTGGATTGAAAACTCTTGTCTGGATGGCATCAAGTTGAGTGATAAGGTGGAGGAGCAGCCTGCACATCACCTCTGGGAGGAAAGGAAGCCACAGAGAGAAAACCCTCATGAGGGGGCTAGGGGCTTCCAGGGGGCCGCCCCGAGGAAGGCAAGCCCCCTCCCAAGTGCCTGCCCCTCCCCTGACCTCACTCCTTCAGCCGCCTCCTCTTGACACAGAGAAACAACCACGTAGGGGTCACAGCTGGGGAAGCAAAACTTTTCCTCATTTCCAAGTTCCCCTCTTTCTGCTTCTGCATCTGTTTGAGGTTAAAAAAGAGGCTCAGCCCTCCCCCGTTCCCCACCATCCAAGCGCTGCAAAGGAGATGAATGAAGAAACCATCTCGCAAGAGGCCAGCAGCATCCACACTGGACAAAGGAGACAGGCTGAGGAGCCAGCCCCTGGTGGCCCTGCCCTCCCAGGGCTCCACGCACTTAGTCCAGTTAGTCGCGGTCGGGCTGGGGGCCCCGTGCAGTTGCTTACCTGAGAGCTGTCAGTCCTCGGCTCCCTCCGATGGATGCGAGGCTCGGTTCCGCTGTCTCAGCCACACCAGCATATATATCCTCTCCCCACGCACAGCCCTCCCCTTCCCTGCCCACCTCCATGACACATACACACACTGACCCCCTTCATCAGCCAAACAGCAGGACCTGCAAGCCTTCCTGGCGGCTCCCCTCCCCCGGCTCTGCCATCAGACCTGTGACATCCCCACCTCCCCATCAATCCGTTCTCAAGCCTGCTTCACCTGGGCTCTGTTCAGCCAGGATCCCACAGCTGCCTTCCCTGTGCTTCCAGAGGCTGTGCGAGGACTGACGAGGAGCTCTGGCAAGTCAGAAAAAAAAGCCTCCTGGTGACAGTGACGAGGCAGACCCCAAATCCTGGAGTCTCCTTGAGCAACCTTTTTGCCTGAGGAGTGAAGAATAGGAGGCAGGCAGAAGGGAGGGGAGCAAACGAATGCCAAGCTCCCACCAGCATGGAGGAGCTCAGGGCTGAGCTGAGCCAAGCCCCCACCTAATGTCACTGCCCCTTACTAGGCCACTGAAGGGGTGGCTCTGCCTGTCCTGAGCCAGGTCAGGAGGCATTTCCACAGGTGCCCCCAGCATGGTGCGATGGAGAACCCTGAGGCTCGAGGCTCAGATAGCAGTGTCTGAAATTCGGCTTTACGATCAGAGCAAGACACATCTCTTTGTGAACCTCAGGTCCTCCTTCTGGAAAACGAGTCCAATACCACCCAGGATGGTTGTGAGTAGAAAAAGAAGATTCTGTTTGAATCTGCAACACACGAGGGCCCTTAATGAACGTGCTGCAACCTCCCCCACAGCCCCCTTTTTAATTAATACCACCTGGATCTAGAAATCTCATATCAGCATCTGGTGTCACAACAGAGAGCTTTTTAAAGCTGCTTCTGCACCTTATGGTGTCACTACCGAGTGCCCTGGAGGCTCTGAAGTTCTGGAAGCTTCCCTGTCCCTTACTGCCAAGCCTCCCTGTCTCCTGCAGCTGCCGGGGCTGGTGGACTACAGGAAGGGAGCTCCCAGGCTGAAGGCACAGGCTCGAGACTTTAGCATCCTTGGGGACCCCACCTTTCCTTACCTTAGGTGAATTGCACCATGACCCTGTCCTTAGTTTTCCCAAGAGGATCTAAAAGATTCCAGAATCCCAGGGTTTGAACTTGTGTCATCCAAGGAGCTCAAGCACTCACTCATATGGTAAGTCCAGCGCTCTTGTTCACCCGGGACTGGGTGGAGAAGGATTGAGGGAGAAGCATCTGCCCTGACCGCGAATGGTCTAGGGTTTCTTTTGGGGGTAATGGAAATGTTCTAGAATTAGATTGCGGTGATGGTTGCATAACATAGCAAGAATACTAAAACCCACCAAATTATATGCTTTAAAACGGTGCATTTAATGTTATGGGAATTACATTTTAATAAAAAGAAAATAGGTAAAAAGAAAGCAAGCAAACATCTGCCCAGGTTAAGAGCAACAGGTTCTGAGAATGAAGTTTCACTTCCATCTGTGTTCAGCGCAGGTGGGCTCAGGAGACCAGCATACTCACGACGCCTCACTTAGACCTCTGTTGCCCAAACCTTACACTGCAGGGCAAAGCTACCACTATGGACCCTTTGGGAAACCAGCGTGTTCACTGTATGACACAGAGTTACTTTTGCATCCTGATGTACTTTGGGGTCCCAGGCCTGGAACCTGATTTCATACATGATGTGGCAGATACTGGTGGCTGCCTACCCAATCCCCAGTCCCCTGTTCTTCCTTACTAAACAGTACCCTTGCTTTTATTCTAGGCATCAATGCACTTAGCTAAAAGACTACATTTCCCATTGGCCAAGGGTTGCCAATGAGCATGAAGCTACAGGCCCTTGGGTGGGGCTTCCAGGAAAGCTCTTTTAAAGGGGGTCAACTCACTAAAGGCCTCTCTCTCTTCTTTGCCCTCCCTCCTTCCTGTCTGGGACACAAATGTGATGGCTGGAGCTCTAGCAGCTATCTCGGATCATGAGATGAGACAACTTTGAGGATGGAAACCATGGGTAAATATGATGGAACATAAAGATGGAAGAATTTGGACTAGTGGAGTGGCCATATCAATCTTGGACTTCCAAACTTTAACCCTTTTTTTCCCCTAAAAAACCCAAACCTTTATTTCAAATGTTAATCAGGGTTCAGTCACCTGTTGCTGCATAACAAGCCACACCAAAGCCAGAGGTTTAAAATAAGAGACCACATATTTGACTCATGAATCTACAGATTGGGTATTTGGGCTAGATTGGGAATTTTGGCTAGGCTCAGCAGGGCAGTTCTTCTGGTCTCAGCCTGAGTCTCTTCTGCACCTGCAGTTGGACTCAGAGGGTTGGCTGGGTGTCAGCTGGGGACCTTGGTTCTCTTGGACATGTCTTATCCTTCATGGGTCTCTCATGTCCCTCTGGCATATTAGTCTGGCATGATCTCATGGCAAGCCTGAGGTGAAGGCATAAGCAAATACACTCAATCAAGACAACAACTGCAAGCATATGGAACCTCTTGAGACCTAAGTATAGAGCTGGCAGCCTATTGCTTTTGCTACGTTTGTTGGCTAAGGCCAGTTGCAAGGCTGTCCAGAGCTAGGCCGTGTGGAAACCACAAAGTCCCAGGATAATAGAGGGTGGCTATGCAGAAGCCATTCATTGGAGGCACTGGAAAATTTAACTCCCTGTGATTTAAGCCATTTATTTGGATTTACTGTTACATGCAGTGAAAATTATCTGAAACAATACACCTGCATTTGAGCACCTCGTCATTCCCAGGAGGTTCAGGCAGCTAAATGCTTTTCTTCCCTTGCAGTTGAGGAAGAGGAAGAGCAAGAGTGAGAAGTCAGTTAGCTTCTCTGGACTTGTCTTTCCTCATCCACCAGATGGAGGAGTTGAACCCAATGACCTGGATGTTCTTGGTGGGTTGAATGAAGCTGCATGTGGTGGCAGGCGGTCTTCTGTGATGCATGGGGAGCGGTGGCTCACGCCTGTAATCCCAGCACTTTGGGAGGCTGAGGTGGGCGGATCACCTGAGGTTGGGAGTTCGAGACCAGCCTGACCAACATGGAGAAACTCTGTCTCTACTGAAAATACAAAATTAGCTGGGCATGGTGGCGCATGCCTGTAAGCCCAGCTCCTTGGGAGACTGAGGCAGGAGAATTGCTTGAATCTGGGAGGTGGAGGTTGTGGTGAGCCAAGATCGAGCCATTGTGCTCTAGCCTGGGCAATAAGAGCAAAACTCCATCTATAAAAAACCAAAAACCAAAAACACTGTTGAGTGGGTGAGTAGAGGAAACTTGCCCCTCAGAAAAGCACAAGTAGACTTGGAGGGGCGCAGACTGTGTGGTGTTTGTGATGGCTTCAGGGCTTCCCCCTTGCCACACAGCCACGGAGACACCACCTTGAGAACCACGGGCTTCCCTTGGCTGTGGTAAGTGGGCATAGAGCAGCAAGCTGCCCCCTGCTTTTCTGATTGGCAGGATATAGTTATTAAAACAGTCGGAGATGAAAGGTCACACACCCTCATTTCTACTGCTTTGTGTGTGTGTGTGTGTGTGTGTGTGTGTGCGCGCGCGCGCAAGGACTTGGAATTAATAAAATTCTTGGCTGGGTTTGGTGGGTCATGTCTGTAATCCTGGTACTTTAGGAGGCCAAGGTGGGAGGATTGCTTGAGCCCAGGAGTTCAAGACCAGTGTGAGCAACATAGCAAAACCTGTCTCTACAAAATATAAAAAATTATATTTGATACAATTAAATTATTTATATGTATATTACTTATATTTATAATTATATATGTGTACTTATTTATTATATTTATACTTATTACTATATTTATACTTATGTATTTATAATTATATAATTATGTAAGTAAATATGTAAGTAAATATATATAAAATACTTATATTTATAATTATACAAGTAATAGAAGTAAAACAATTTTATTTATACTTATTTATATAAGTATATAAATTTATATAAATAAAATTATATTTATATAAGTATAAATTTATATAAGTGTGAATGTATTTATACTTATAATTTATACTTACATAAGAAATATAAGTAATTTTACATTATATAAATATAATTATGTTTTTTACATTAATTTTAATGTTTTTTACATTAATGTTTTTTACATTAATTTAGTTTTATACATATAATTTTACATTATATAAATATAATTAAGCACTACAGGTATATTATAATGTAATTTAAGTATACATTATATACATTAAATAAGTATAATTAAGCACCTGTAGTCTCAGCTACTTGGGAGGCTGAGGAGGGAGGATTGCTTGAGCCTGGGAGGTTGAGGCTGCAGTGAGGCGTGATTGAGCCACTGTACTCCAGCCTAAGCGACAGAGTAAGGCCCTGTCTCAATAAAATAAAATAACATGCAATTCTTATTTCTTCTGCTTCTGAGGTGATGGAAGTTCACTCCTGCACACACCAGCTTGGCATCTTCTTTGCAATAGAAGCCCAACCGGGGAGGCTGCAAATGTTAGAATCCAATCTGTACTGACAGGTAAGTTTTGAGGCAGATTGAGAAAGCTCTTAAAATTGTCATCAGAAAATCTCAGTAGAGGGAGTACAGGGGAAGGAGGCAGCTGCAGCTGGGCCCCACATCGAGCTCCACGCCCCTCTACCCACCTGCCAATTTTCCTCTCTCAGAGTAAAGAGCCTCTCCCCACCATGTATTTAGGGGCTTGGGATTTACTGATTAATTACAGCGCCTACCTCCAATTGGTCTCCTTAGCAACCACGTTAGCAGGGTCCCACTTGAAAAGCTGCTTCTTACTCAATGAGGGCAAACTCTCTTCATAGTTTAAAACACTTTTAAGTCAGAGCACAGTGGATTTTAAAGATAGAGAGACACACACGTTTCTTCACAACTTCGCATCAAAATAGATGGACTTTTGAACTATCGAGGGCAAGTGGCATTTTAGTAATCAGTAAGAGATAGTTTTAAAGGAAGAGTTGGGGGAATACAGTTTCAGTCAAATGGCCAATGATTGCCTTTGCAAGTATAGGTTTTACTACCAGAGTATCCAGCCTAGTGCTGGGCTAGGGGATGTCAGAATGAAAGATATCCTGGCTAGGTGTGGTGGCTCATACGTGTAATCCCAGCACTTTGGGAGGCCGAGTTGTGTGGATCTCCTGAGGTCAGAAGTTCCAGACCAGCCTGATCAACATAGTGAAACCCCATCTCTAAAAATATAAAAAAATTAGCTGGGTGTAGTGGCGGATGCCTGTAATTCCAGTTACTCAGGAGGATGAGGCAGGAGAATCACTTGAGCCTGGGAGGCAGAGGTTGCGGTGAACCAAGATCGTGCCATTGCACTTCAGCCTGGGCAACAAGAGCGAGACTCTGTCTAAACAAAAAAAAAAAAAAAAAAAAAAAAAAAAAAATCCTTACCCTCAAGAAGCTGGCCCAGGGGACAAGTGAGATCAATGCATGGTGACCAACACATCATTTGCTATAGTGACTCAGACCATTCGAGAATGAGGGAGTGCGTGATGAGGTGCTAATTGTGGATCAGACTGGAAGTGAAAGAGAAGTTCAAGTGAGGAGAGTGAAATTCAAGAGAGGAGAACGATGTTCAAGGGATGTTTATCTTATGTTTTGAATGATGTGTTAAGATGTCGAGGACAAATGGCAGGTTCTGAGTGGGCAGGAGGGTGGTTGCTGGGCTTTAGCGCAGGTGACTAGCAGGATTAGGGGGTGTGTTAGTCAGCTGGGGCTGTCGGAACCAAGTGCCACTGACTGGGTGGCTTCAGCAATGGGAATGCATTTTCTCATAGTTCTCGAGGCTGGAATTCTGAGATCAAGTGTCAGCAAGGTTGATTTCTCCTGCAGCCTCACTCCTGGCCTTGGAGGTGGCCGTCTTCTCCCTGTGCCCTCACGTGGCTGTCTCTGTGTGCATCTGTGCCTTCATCTCCTCTTCTTTTAAGAGCACTGGGCCTATGGGATTAGGGCCACCCTAGTGACTTCATTTACCCTAAATCACCTCTTTAAAGCCCCTACCTCCAAATACGGTCACACTCTGAGGGGCTGGGGTTAAGACTTCAGCGGAGGAATTTGGGGGAGGGGTGTACGGTTCACCCCATAATGGGGATAATGAAACTGTGCTCATCACATAACGTGGATAGAATTCCAGGAAGGAAACTGAAGTTCACTGTGGCATGTGGGTGAATAATGTGCACGGGGCGTCCCTTCCACCCTCAGCCCCAAACCCAGGAGTTGGGATCCCCGACACTAAGCTGACAATGTGCCCCAGCGTTGCCATGTGACAATGTCCTGGGAAGCCCTATGCAGGTCCCATGACTACATCTTAAGAGTCGCATCAACACTAGAAGCTGTATCCTGAACCTTGAATGTTAAGATCAAAGAAACTTAAAAAGTGCCATGCTCAGAATAAGAAGGCATCCAGGCGTCCAGGTCTCCAGGCGTCCCAGCACCCAGGCACTTCAGAAGCCTGATCACGGTCCCTGAAAAGCTTTGTAGGGTGGTGCAGTTGATCTGAATGCCATGGAGGGGTCCGACACCCTTCTCTTCCGTCTTTCAGAAATAGATGCATGTTCCACGTTGGAGAGCCAACCCCGCTTCATCTTGTCCCTCTGTTAGTCACAGGTTTCGCAGGTTGGCTCATTTGCTCTCACGACCCCACTCTTTGCGGGGGCCTCTTGGGGCTCCAGCCCACACCTCCCTTTGGTCTTGGGTACCATAATTCCAGTGCCTTCGAGATGTTCTGGCTCAGATCTCACCTTGATGCTGACGAGGATGCTGTGATATCCCTGTTAGCAAAAACCCCCATCTGCACATTCAGTGTCGTGGTGACATTCCCCCAGCCTCTCTCTTTTGTAACCTGAGCCATCTTTCTTCTTGCTCTTTCCCTCATCCTTTGTATTCAGGTATTCCCAAATGTAACCAATTCCTCTCTATCACAGTTTGTCAGAGTTCCTAGCGTGCGCATGCCTCTCCCCGCTCTCTTTCTCTTTCTTCAATCTATCCTATACACAGCAGCCTACCTAATATTTTTTAAACGGTATTTTCCTTTTGCTTTAATACCTTGCTCCAGAATTCTAGTTTAAAGGCAAAGAATGATAGAAGTAGAAAGTAGTGAACCTGAACTCTAAAGACCAGTGGTTGAGTCCTGGCTTAGCCCCCACCTTGTCATGTGACTTTAGCCAAACCACTCCTGCTACCAGGGTCTTTTTGTAGAGATGGGGTCTCACTATGTTGCCCAGGCTGGTCTCAGCCTCCTGACCTCAGCAATTCTCCTGCCTCGGCCTCCCAAAATGTTGCGATTACAGGCATGGGCTGCAGCACCCAGCCTTGAATTCTTATTCTTTAAAATGGGTGTAGTGGCCAGGTGCAGTGGCTCACACCTGTAATCCCAGCACTCTGGGAGGCCAAGGCAGGAGGATCACTTGAGGCCAGAAGTTTGAAATCAGCCTGGACAACATAGTGAGACCCTATCTCTATGAAAACAGAAAAATAATAGGCATAATAATAGCTAACAATGGTGGTATGAGAATTCATTCAGTTAATGTAAATGAAGGAGATTTGAAAATTATAAAATAGACAAATACAAAATATAATGATTATTCCTCAAGGCCATCTCAAGTACAACCAACCCTTATGCCTAACTAAAAGTTGGCCTTTTCCTTTTGTAAGCTTACAGCATTTTTCTGGATGCTATGTCTGGACAATGGTTATTTCCAGATTTGCAGTTTGCACTGCAGAATGCACCTCGTGCTGTTCTCTGCTGGTACTCCACCCCGCCTGTCCAGGGAAACTGGGAACTTCTGGAGGGAAGAAACTTACATTCTTTCTTATTTCTATGCAACTGAGCACAGTGCCAGGCATACTGAAGTCCATCAATTTCACATGCATGCATTGGGCACCTAATTCTTGTTGATATACAGAAGGCATGTATTAATGGGGAGCGGATTCAATATCACATCATAAAAATTCCTGCACTCAAAGAGTTCACAGTTGGGCTTGGAAGATGAGCTGCAAGAACTAAAAAGGTACAGATGGCATTTCTACTGTCAGCAAAAGACACCTGGGTGTTTAAGGGAAATGCATGTCCTCCGGCTGGGATGGTGATAAAGGTTTGGCGGTTTGAGCAGCGTCTTGAAGGACCGGCGAGACTGGATAGGCAGAGACGGGGAAAGTGTGAGAGTCCGCAGGCCAGGTGAGCTGGCCTGGAGGAGGCTTTGCAGAAAGGAGCTGCAGCAGCAGAGGCTGGAAATGCAGGCGGAGTGGGACCGTAGAAGGCCTTGAACAGTGGCCTCAATGGCTTACGCTGCACCCAGTGGGGATGAGTAGGGTATTGGGAAGACATTGAATGCTTCTGTGGAGCGGAGTGATGCTAGGCAGTGTTTTAGGAGTGGTCAGCTAGGGCTGATACTAAATACTTATTGACTGGGGTGAGCGGGAGAGCTTCCGTAGGCGTTCATCTGTCTTTATGTGGCTGGGTCTGTATGGATGACTGCAGCCTCAAAAGCCAGCTAGAAATAGACATACAAATGGTCCAGCAACGGCACTGAAAGCTTTCTATTTTCTCAGCAAATAGTGTCACGTGAAAATCTCTGAATTCCTGGATGTTTCCTCTTTCTAGATCAGGAAATCTCATATCTCAAACCTCTCCTCACTGCCACCATTAGAGGCGTGACAGCCTGCCACGTTCTGAACCCGAGCTTAAACCTGAGAGTCCCTTCTTCCTGCCTCTGCCCTGCTCCTCATCAAAGAGTGTTGTATAATGCTGGTGGAAATGCCATTTGGCAAACTTGTGTTGTTGTTGATGCAAGATGACTAGCTTCCCAAAGCTCTTTTGTGGTTCTGGAAAAGGAAGATAGGAGATAGATTTTTTTTTTTTTTTGAGGAAGAAAATTGTTTCAGTCCTTTGCAAAGTAAAATAATGGATGTCTAAGATTTCTAAGTTCAGGTTTTCCGTATCAATTAAATGACATTGCCAGAGCACCTTGTTGTAACTTTCTCCCTCCCCCAGGGATTCCCCTTCCCCCATGGCTTCCCCCTACCTTGCCTAGGCCTCTGGTGGCTACATAGAGACCCCCCCCACACACACATATGCACATGCACACATGCACACATGTACACAGCTAGTAGTTTCAGCGTCTCCCTCCCCCATGGCTTCTCCCTCCCCCATGGCTTCCCCCTCCCCC